ATGCAGGGCCAGGTGCCCGGTTTGACCATTTTCAGCGCTTCTACTGGCCTTGCAAAAGGCTTCATAGATTAAACCCCAGTGCTGCTTCTGAAATCCAGAATGGGATTTTGAAATCTTTTTAGGGAGGAAGTAGTCCTGCAAAGCGGTTCTCCTCCTCCTCTTGGATGTCTGAGTTCCTTCAGCTGGAGACACAGACTAGCCATTTCCAGTCTGTCTCTCTCTCTCCAGATGTGGTGTACGATGCAGATACAGTGGGCGCTGGCTAAGAGTTATGGGAATGATGATGCTGGCAGAGAATGATGGGAACCCTGGTCAAGCACATCTGAAGGGCCCAACGAGGGCGACTCACAGCTTGGCGAGGGCCAAGAGAAGAGCGCTCTCCTAATTCGTGCGTGTGTGTAATTGTTCTGCTAGGAAATTTTCGGATCCCCGTTTCCCGCTGCTAATACGACGCGATGCTTCAGCAGGTTTTCACGAATTCTCTGCTGGGTATTGGCTTGTTGAGGATAAAGGACACGCTCCCTGACCCAGTTTTCTAGCTTTTGAAAGCCCTCTTTATTCCAGCACTTCCAAAACCAGATGGACAGCGGCCGAGGAGCCTCCGTGCCGAATGCAGTGCCACCTTGATTGTGTCGGGGGGCGGTTTGTCAGCGGGTGTCCGTGGCATGATTTAAGCATCATCTGTACTGCACCCAGCCCTGTGGGGTTTCTACTAGGATGGAGGAGGCCGGGCGTGTGGAGGCCTTTTTGGAAAAGCCTTGAAGAAGGCAAATACAGGACTGAACCGACTTATAGAATAAGGTGTGAGAGAGCAAGACCCAGAATGCTTGACTAACTGGGAGGTTTCCTTGAGTTCCTGAGGCTCTCAAGCTCAGCCTGTTTGCCCTCCTTGTTCACAGACAGGAACACTTGACATTGGGACCCAGGAGTGCTTGAAAGACAGGCCTTGTTGCATGCGTGAAATGACAAACCAATAAATGTTCTTGGTGTTCCGAAGTATGAAGCTGCAGGCTGGTGTTACACAAGTAATCAACTCTCCTCCTTTGATGATGCAAGGAGCTGCTGCTTCCAAAGGCCCGAAGGACTTGATTTTGAAAACGAAATCCCTCGGTCTTTTGCGTCTTTGCTAGGAAATCGGCTCGTCTCCAACGTGTGCAGTGGGCCCAGCTGCAAAGTTTGCTGGGTTTTAGGAGTGCAGCTTTATCATTAACCCTCTTCAGTCTGCTGCAATGATCTCGTTAAGATAACAGAAGGTGGAGTATGCAGTCAGTTTCTATGCTGTTCTATTTGTGTCTCATTCCTCCCTCTCCAGTCGCTCTCACATGCTTCATCTCTCCGTTCCAACTGCCTTTGCAGCCCGCATTCAGTTCTGCATCAGGAATTCATTCCAGTTTGATTTTAGTTGAGCGTTTCTTGATTCATACCTTCTGGAGTGGAGATAGATTCGGACGCCATCTGTAGCCGAAAGTCCTAGGTTTCTAAGAATTTATTCTGTTCTAGCTTTTCGCTAACCTGTAAACAGCTTAGAGTTTTCTGCACATCGTGGAACAGCTGGGGAAAGGGGCCAGTGCACTGGAAGCAAAAATAATGACCATCTCCGGTACGTTTCCATTGATCCCTGCATTAAAAAACCCAGGAATTGCCAATGAGATGCAAAACTGGTTCTTCCCGGATTGTTTGTGGTTAGCAAACGTAAAATCATGAGTGCAGCTTATTTCTCCCAACTCAACAAACCCAGAATGCAACGACCCTCAGCATCGTGTGTGAAGCTGCAGTGAATATCGTAACTGATGATACTGAGAGGGTCAGCATAGATTTCGTTGTCGAGTGAGTGCGTGCTTGCCATTTACTCGCTTTGGCCGCGTCCCGCAGTAATTTCCGTGTCGGGTCTTTGGCCAGCTGCAAGCTAAGCAGAATGGGCCTCTCACCCACACGGGGATGTATAGCAGAGGCTTGTCCCAAGCGGGAGACCAGTTGCCACCAGTTGAGCCCTGGTGGGACTCCCTGCAGCTCGGCTGCCTCTCGCCGGCTTCCCTTTGAGTCATCGAGAGCGCTCTCCAGCATCTTTGGCAACACATTTACAATATTAAAGCACACGCTTAGCTAAAATGAAAACAGGACTCGCAAACTGGGGGCCCATTTTTAAAGCTACTCCAAGAGGTGTTGAAAGGCTGCCTTGGTCTAATTATAGCTACTGTTAAATAATGTGTTGCAATAATTAATCATCAGCTCTGCCTCGAAAGAAGGGAACTGGCTCCTCATGGCTTCAGCTGATCGGCTTAGCGCTTCTGTTTACCTGCAACTGGTCTTTTTTCTTTTTTTCTGATGGATGCAATCTTTCAAATTTTGGGAAGTCACAAATGGCCCCGTTCCCAGATAGAAAGGCACAGAAATAAAAGCAACGGGTCATACGTTGCTTTCTGTCCCAGCTCTGCTTTCCGAACCGATTTAGCTTTTGCCTTGATCACAAAAGTTTTTTTAAGAAGTTATATTAGTTAGGAAGCAATCCCATGGCTCCTAGACAGCGTCGGAAGGGCACGAGGGCTTTTCGGATTTTCAGATCTGAGGTCGGAGGTTGTGCTTCAACCTCGGAGCTGGAAATGAAAACTCCTGCGTGGAAAGAATCGCACCTAGAGATGTAACATTTTCAGAAATGTTGGGGCCATGGAAACAATCCATTTTTCTATGTTTTCCAACTGTTTTCTGGGTTGGAAAAAATGAAAAGTTTGGAGGAACTGAACATGCAATATTGGCACCCTTTGCAGATTAAAAGGAACATAAAGTGCATTGACTTGGTTTGACATCAGCCAATGTGGAGCTGAGGATTCGGGGCTGGCTTGGCGAGGTCTGGATTCGCGTCTCTGCTGAGCTGTGGCAAGTGCGGAGTCGCTTGGCCCCTCACGGGCTTTCCTATCCCACTTCAGAGACTGGTTGTTGCAGGGATAAAATGGAGGAGAGAACTTGGCAAGAATTTATCCTTTATCCAAGAATTTATCCTTATCCCTTCTTGCTTCTTGAAGGCTGCAGCTACAGTGCGACTGGCATTTAATGCCTTTACAAGTTCTTTTGCTTGTCCGTAGATTTTTGGGAAGGTGTTGAGTTTCATGAGGTCTTTACAAAATAAGTAGCCCATGCCATGTGCATCCCATCGCAGTAATATGTGAATATTTAGGCATCGTGATCTCCTGTGCCGGTTGTATTCCCAGTCAGCAAAACCTGACTTTACCACTCCCAAATTTCTGTAGGACTTTTGCAGTATTTCTGTTTTCTCCTGTAAAAAAACCAAAAACCTGGTTACAGTTATCATAAAAGTTTATGATTTCTTCTCCTCTCGCATTTGTCCCTCCATCTGTAAGTACTATAAAATATGGCGCTTTGTTAATTTTCCTTGCACAGATTCCATTATGTTTTCATATTTTGACTCTAAAAGAGGCTTACGCAAAGAAAGTCTGCTGGGCATATAGCGTGATGTCTTGGCAGTTAAAAAAAACACAGCTTCCTGCTACTAAGCATTTTAAGCAATTGAGAATGGGATTCCAGAAAAATATATTACTTTTTCAAGAGCTTGGGCAGCTTTTTCCCTGATCATCACGGCTTAGGTTGTCTGAAGATGAAGCTATTAAGTTTGTGTAGATGCAGCTGCTTACAAATTTTGCGTGCTTGGATGCCGATGCTGATACGGAAACTTTTGTGACAATGCCAATGTAATAGAAGGAGCCAAAGAGGACTTCCGACGTGGGAATGCTGGGGAAAGCGGCTTGCCCTGTCATCACTATCGTCTTCCTTGGATCCACGAAGGACTTTTTAAATGTTTGCAGGATAATTCCTGCAAGATACAAGGATGTGCAAATGCCTGTTTCATTTCACGACATTTGCAAAGCATTTTTTCCTCCGAAGAACCTGCAGATGTTGCAGTGCCTCAGATGCTGCATGTTCTCAGCATTTTCCTGAGGGGCGAGAAAGCACAAATAATTTGGCAGTGAGCTTGCCAGCGAACACTGAATTATGGTGGGGCGTTGCAAACAGGTCTCCGACTTGGGAGAATTGAATCATGATTTATAGAAGGCAAATGAATGCTGTGAAAATATGGTTGAATTTTGGGGATTCAAATGCAATTAAATTGTCACCTCTCCAATAAATACGCTTCCAATAAAGTTTTTCCCAGACCTTTTGGAAATGGCGCCAGCTACACACAAAGAAGAGCATTCACGAGCTAAGAAGAAATGGATGCCCTCTTCCTCCTATTTCGATAATGCCAGTGCCCCTTAGAGACAGAAACGCATCTCACTTGCACAGCGCAATTCACCGCCCTGCACTCGCTTGCCTTCTGCGCACAAGAATTGTAATGATCCGAGGTGGCGCACGGTACACCATGAGACATCCGTTGCACAGATTTTGGAAGACGTTTTGGGAGACGAAATAGGCAAGCACCTTCATCCTTCTGAAAGAAAGTATGCCATAATGGTTTTTTTTTTTTCAATTTTTCCAAGAAAAACGGAGAAGGCCCACCCCCCGCCTGCCCCAGTGTTTTTTCCCAGGTCTTCACATCTCGAGCCGCTCTGGCTGCTTCTGAAACCGGGGAAGCAGCCTTTGAGAGTGGTGAGAGAGGCTGTTTTGGCGGACTAAGGAGGTCCTGGGGTGGGGGAGTGGCGGGTGCCGTCTGGGTCGTGGACTTGGTGTTAGGTTTACGAGCTGGGGGAAGAGGCCGAACTGACGAGCGTCTCCTGTCCGCCTCATAGATCTGCGTGGGCTGTAGATTAGAGCTCCGTGTCGTGAGGGGGGTTTATGGGCTGAGGAGCTCCGTGTCCTGTGCCCGGTCGGGCTTTCTGTGCAGCTGCCGTGGCTGATGTGGCGTTCGGGCGAGGCCCGAGTCATCCGTTGAGGTGATTCACTTGTGTCCCACATGGTAGCTTCTGGTTTAATCGACGGTTAACCTCACAGAACTCAGCGAAGCATCCCAGGGTGTTGGCTTCATTTCATGTCTGTCTGCTGTCTTTCAGGCAAAACCCAGAAGCAACGTTTGAAGTCTACGTCGAAGTGACTTATCCAGCGGTCGCAGGCAAAGGTACTGTATATGGGTTCTGTTTTTGTATTTCAGCTGAACCGTTTCGTGGAAGTTAAGCAGAGCTACGCTGCTTGGGGGAAATGGAGATGGGATTAGTTCTTTTATTTCTGTGCTTCCAGTCATGGAGGACCGGCACGTGCATGGGCTGCCAGCTCCTGAGTCCCGGTAGCCGAGGTATCCTTGTACGCCCAGGCTACAGACCCGGCCTTTTGGGAGGAGTGCAGCCCCAGCCAGAGAGTGAGCCTGACTCCGGACTACAAGGACTCCCACCTTTCTGGGATTTAGCTTCATTTTCTTGGCCCTCATCCAGCCCATCACTCAGTCCAGGCCCTGAGCCAGGCCTCACAAAGGGTCTCCTGGTCCACCTCTCACGGGGAGGTGGAGCTGTGTGTCATCCACGTGCTGATGGTACATGGCTCCAGACACCCTGATAACCTTCCAGCGCCTTCACCTGGATGGCAGGTAACATACGGGACAGGATGGCACCCTACAGAAACCCAAGGCTCAATGGTTGGGGTTGAGGAACAGCTGCACAGTGTTACTCTCTGGAATCAAGAGCTTTCCACTGTCATCAGAACTTTTCAGCATCCTGAAAAATGAGAGTCTAAGTACGTTTCCTCTGGGAGTTAAAAGAGGATTATGGGAATTTATTTATTTGTTTATTTGGAGTATTTATATGGCACCCATCTTCAACAATGGATCCTGGAGTGGTTTCTAATGCAACAACAATAATCTTAGTGGGAATAGGTAAAACAGAGATAAATAGCAGATAAGAGCTTAACTGTGTGTCATGCTTAGAACCTGGATGGCAAAAGTAGTCTTGGTTTAGCCCCTAAAAGATGATGGTGTTGCTCTTGGGCAGGTCTTCGTGGAAAGGGCATTTCCTAACCGAGTTGCTACAGCCCAAAAGAGCTAAGCGTAGCTGGTACCTTCCCAACTTGCAGAAAGCGCATCCGCGATAGGCTGGTAGGAAAAGAGCAGCGTGCGTATATTCTTTGGCCTATGGGCCCGTTCAGTAACTCGTGTTAGCTTCTTCCTCATTTCCAGAGCTGGAAAAATCAGAGGAAATATAACCATAACCGTTATCTTGTTCACACCAGTAGTGTTTGGTAGTAATCTTTCCTTTTGAAGTTCGTTTGTGTATCCCTGGAGGGATAAATTCCCTACTGTGAGGAGGTGGGTTAAAGAGTGCTGAAACCTCTTTACAAGTTTTTAATTGGAGGGTTTAATAAACATTTTATTCCAGAAACTCAAAGCAATTGTGGTAGTTTCGTGCTCAGTGTCTTGAAACCCTTCCTTTTTTGTCGTAAATGCTAAGTTTTCAACAGAGCAATGCCCAATTTGAGGCGGTGCAGTGAGGAAGCGTGAGCAAAGGTTTCTGGCTGGTTTTGTGCTGTGCTGATGGGTGTCGCCGTGGGATGGAACAAGCTCGAAAGAGAGACGCTTGTCCTTCGCGTCAGAAGAGACGCTCCCCAAGCAGCCCTTCCTGTGGCTTGTCCCAGCAGGTTTCGCTTACCAGGATTCAGACGGGATGCCCGTGCTCTGTGAGGAAGAGGGTAGACACAGGGTTGCTGACCTTTGTTGTTGTTCAGTCGCAAAGCCGTGCTCGACTCTAAACAATCACATGGACAACCTTCCTCCAGGCCTTCCTGTCCTCCACCTTCCCCCGGAGTCCACTCAAGCTCACACCCACTGCTTCAGTGACTCCATCCAGCCCCCTCATCCTCTGCCGCCCCCTTCTACTTCTGTGCTCAGTCATTCCCAGCATCAGGCGCTTCTCCGGGGAGTCCCTCCTTCTCATTAGGTGGCCAAAGAATTTGAGCTTCATCTTCGGTATCTGGCCTTCTAAAGAGCAGTCAGGGTTGAGTTCCTTCAGTCCTTGCTGACTGTGCCTACCCCCGTTTGGACGGGCATGTGCAGCAGGAGGAAGGCATGGTAGAGCGAGGGGCCCATGGGCACAGCAGCAGAGACTCCAAAGGACAAGGACAAGAACCTCCTTCCAGGTTATGACGGGGGCTTTACTCCTGTGCTCCACCCAGCAATGATCTCTCCAGCTTCGCCTGCTGTCGGGAGCTTTGTGCAAAGTGGATCTCCCGGTCGGCGCTGCAGCTGAAAAGAAAGGAGGGTGCAGATGGGATGCAGAAGGGGCTGAGGATGGCAGCACCTCTGTGCGTGCATGCGTGGGGGTGTGTGCACACGCGCATGTGCAAACCGGAGGCCTCTTTTTCCTTTGAGAGGGTGGAAAGAGTGAGAAACGAATTGGAAGCAAGAGCGCTGGCCACCATTTATAGAGGAGTTTCTTCTTTAACTTGGGCAGTGGGAGCCGCTGCTAGAAGGAATCTGCCTCGTGCTTGCTGGGTGCTAGAAGTGGGCTGAAAGCCCCGAGGGATGTGAAACTCTTCTGCCTTTATGACATCCAAAGAGGTTACCTTGCTGTTGGGTTGGAGGCCATCTTGGTGCCTGTCTCATGGCTGGCACTGGTTGGGTTTTGGGACAGAGTGGGGTGGGGAGCAGGTATGTGTCTCTTTTGAAGTTCCTGTGCAATCTGCGGCTGCTTGTGGGGTCATCCCAGGTGACCCCATAGGGTCCAGGCATTTCTTTCCCCCTCCGAAGGACAGCGGGTGGCCGATTTTCCTCTGCACAGCTTTGTCACGGAAAAGAATGACGTTTTGAGACCTTTCTGCGCCTGAAGTTGTGTGTCCGTGCCAATTTCCAGTTGTCTGCTCCCGGCTGTTATTGCAAATATGGTCTCCTGAATATTTTTACCCCATGCTCTGGTCTCCGAATGTGGAATACAGCTCTTACCCAGCCAAAACTATTGTTTTTAAAGCTTTTATTGTGGCGGTACCAAACATCTTGCATAAAGCAAAGGAATTGGTTAAGAAGATGGTTGATTAATCTAAGTCGCTTTTGCGGCACTCACCTAGATTGAATTTCGGACAGTAGAACCTGTTCCTTTAATTTTAAATTTTCTGCAAGTTTTAAAAACACATGCATGGTCCCTTGCCCTCAGAATCTTTGATACCGTACCCTTGGACGTGTTATCACATATATTCTCATAATTAAATAGGAGAATCATTGTTATACAGAGAGACTGAAAGTAACCTCATGAGAAGTCACATACTGCAGTGAGAATGAAAAACCCAAGCTCCCGTCTGCTTCCCCTTTTATTTTCCTTCGCCTTCAAATTGCCTATTTTGTTTTCTTTAAGAAAGCGGCCATGTGTCACGTACCAGAAAGGAGACATTATTCGAAGGCACCGATCTTGGAGACCTGTGCCAAAGGACCTTCCTTGTTAGAAGGAGGAGTGAAGAGAATTTGGGTACAGCTCTGTGACTAATAGCATAGGGGGAAAAAGTGCATTTGTTAGTCTAAAGTAACTGATCAAAATAAGTCACCAGAGCTGGAACATCTGAAAGTAAAAGGCTCACAAAAGTGAGAAATTTCTCCCTGTGTAGGAAGCTTTTGTACAGGGGTTTTTTGTGTGTGTGGTTGCCAAGTGAGACATCAGAAAAGAACGTTGGATCCTCAGCTTTGCCACTCAGTAAGCCAGACGGACCTTCTCTCCAAGGACCGCCGCTTTCATCTTTTTGTGAGAGCCACGCAAAATTCTTGCTGTGTGTTCAAGGGAAAACTAGAATGGTTTCGTGTAGCTCAGTCTGCCTTTCATTTCCCCCCCTTTAAATGCGCGCGCACACACACCCACCCACACACACCATGGTGTAAGTTAGAACCCTAAATGTATTACACCGCACAAGGATGAAGTGCTGGACCTTTTACCGGTTTTAACAAATGTTCCCCAGGATTAGTAAAGGAAATGGCAATTTCAGCTGCCTCTTTTTACAACAAAGGCATTTAAAAGGCCTAGCTGCTAAGTCTCACCGTGTGTTTCTTTTCTCTTCACCTAAACATAGCACTCGGTTGAAAAGGGAGATGAATCTTCCTGGGGAAATTATTAACTCCGAGGGAGTTTATCACTGTTTGAGAGAATAGGGGCAGATTTGCATTTGAACTGGCTCTGAGTGCAGCGCTTTTCCCTAATTTGGTTCCCGCTGGAAAGCGGCTGAGTAGTTGATGGAAGTAAGTACTTCATGCTCTGACCCCATGTAGTAACTTCTTGATTTTCTCAAGAACTCACAGGAGCTCTGCCTTAAAATTGCCAGAGTCCCAAGTTCAGCTGGGAGATGCGGTGGGGACCCGAAGCTCCGCGTTTACTGTGTCAGGGCTTGCAAGGGTCTCCGCGAGCAAGAATTTGGCAGGTTTTTGTGAGTAAGAATTAGGCAAACCCACAGTTCTTGGGTGATGCATGTAAGAGCTCTTTCTGGATCCGTCCGTCCAGCATCCATTTTGCAATAGTGCTCAGGACTCTGGAAAGTGCACAGGTTAAACTTGAAGGCCATAGTCCCTCCTATAGGGTGGGAGACCAAATTTTTAAATAAATAAATAAAACAAACTAGAATTTGGAGCAGCTTTCCTCGACCATTTTGGCACCAGTTCCGCGGAAGGCAGTTCCATGGACTGGGGCAGGGATCGCTTCGGGATGATTCAAGGGCGTTACAGTGGTTTCTTATACTTCACATTTATTCTGTTTCAGGAGGCCGTTTGAACTCTGAATTGTTTGAAGTCTGAAGCTATGTTCCTCATTAGAAATAATGGAAACGGAATTAATCCGTTCTTAGACCCCGACCAATACCCATCTCAATAAACATAAACAGTAAATACGTATTATTTAAGGTGAAAAGAATTAAATGCCAAATGTATTAATTAAAACTTGAAAGCAATTAATACATTATGTAAATAGGTGCAGTACTGTATGATAAAATGAAAATTGCATCTGCTGTCCAAATTTTTTAGTGAGTGGTGAAGCAGAAAAGGATCGCGAAGGCAGTGAGAAAGCGCGAGAAAGCGGTCAGAACGTTCGAGAGGGCAGGCAGTTAAAAGAGACTGGAAAGGATCGCGAAGGCTGTGAGAACGATCGAGAAGGCAGGCAGTTAGAAGTC